AGGAAAGGAAAAGATCAAAGTGGGCTTCCCATAAGGAGAAAGCTTTGGGGAAGAAGCAGGGATTGACTTGGGTACTGAAGGATGGGTAGAATTTTATGTTGGGGATAAGGACAGTATGTCCCTAGTGGAACACCATCAGCAAAAGCTCAGAGGCAGGAAAGAATATAACAGGGTGGGAAGGAGAAGGAGCCAGATTTCAGTTTAGGAACTTGTTGAGAACAAGCCTAATAAAGTCTTAGAGAGCCTCAAAAATCAAGCTAAATGGTTAAACTTATATAAGCTGTAGAGAGTTAACTTTCTTAAGGTTTGGGTTTTTTTTTTTCTTTATAACTTATTCTGGTAAACTTAAAATATAAATATTTTAATAAATACATTTAACATGTATATAAAATAAGTCTTTTATATAAAGGACTAAAGAGAAAACTTAAAAAATTTTTTTAAAGATTTTTATTTATTTGAGAGAGAGATTACAAGTAGGCAGAGAGGCAGGCAGAGAGAGAGAGAGGAGGAAGCAGGCTCCCTGCTGAGCAGAGAGCCCAATGCAGGGCTCCATCCCAGGACCCTGGGATCACCACCTGAGCCAAAGGCAGAGCCTCAACCCACTGGCGCCTGAGCCACCCAGGCGCCCCCACTTCTCCCTCTGCCCTTCCCAGTGACAGTGGTTTTCTAGTTTTTTGCTATTTGAAGTAACACTATGATAAACACCACTGGATATAAACTTTATCTCTTTCTCTCATAATCGTGTCTTTTTTTTTTTTTTTTTTGTAAGATTTTATTTATTTATTTGTCAGAGCACAAGCAGGGGGAGCCAGAGAGGGAGAAGCAGACTCCCCACTGAGCAAGGAGCAAGGAGCCTGATGTGGGACTTGATCCCAGGACCCTAGGATCATGACCTGAGCTGAAGGCAGACACTTAACCAACTGAGCCATCCAGGCATCCCTCCTTTTTTTTTTTTTTTAGATTTTATTCTTTTTTTTTTTTTTAAACATTTTATTCATTTATTTGACAGAGAGAGATCACAAATAGGCAGAGAGGCAGGCAGAGAGAGAGGAGGAAGCAGGCTCTCCACAGAGCAGAGAGCCCGATGTGGGGCTTGATCCCAGGACTCTGGGATCATGACCTGAGCGGAAGGCAGAGGCCCTAACCCACTGAGCCACCCAGGCGCCCTGAGATTTTATTCTTTAAAATAATCTCTTCACCCAGTGTAGGGCTCAAACTTACAACCCCAAGATCAAGCGTTGCATGCTGTACTGAGTGAGCCACCCAGGTGCCCCTCTCATAATCATTTCTGCACGGAATTGAGAGTGATTTTTTTTAGAGAGTTACTGGTCCAAAGAAAAGGAACTTTAGAGGGGCACCTGGGTGGCTCAGTGGGTTAAAGCCTCTGCCTTCGGCTCAGGTCATGATCCCAGGGTCCTGGGATCAAGCCCCACATCGGGTTCTCTGCTCGGCAGGGAGCCTGCTTCCTCCTCTCTCTGCCTGCCTCTCTGCCCACTTGTGATCTCTGTCAAATAAATAAATAAAATCTTAAAAAAGAAAAAAAAAGAACTTTAGAAAGGTTTCATAATATAATTGAGCAGTTGAATGTGACATTTTGAAAGTTTAATTTTAAGCAGATTAAACAAGTAGTGGTAGGCAGTAGAAATTTACTACTACTTCCCAATTTCCCAGTTTTCCCTGCTTCCCAGTTCTTTAGTCTTTAACCTCAGTTCTTACGATAGACAGGAATGGATGTCTGTCCAGGACCTTATCTCTGCCTCACGATTTGGCTCAGGTGACCATCAGGCCTCCACCCTGTTGTCAGCATGTCTCATTCCCCCTGTCACAGCTGCCTGTGTCCTTGGAGTGCTATACAGAGCCTCCCGAAGACAACCTGGCCCTCCTTCAGCTCTACTTCTGGGCTCTGGTTACCGGTGCCCTCTGTCCACGTTGGTGCCCTGTGCTCTATGCTGTGGCCGTGGCCCATGTCAACAGCTTCATCTTCTCCCAGGACCCCAAGAGCTCAGTAAGTTACATCCCCATCACCAGAGGGTGGAAGAGAGACTGCAACTGAGCTGCCTCTGGGTCAGCTGGGGAAGAGATGAGGGTTGGATAAGGGCAATGATGGGTGTCAGCCCTGGGCCCAGTGCCATCTCTCCCTCCCTGTTCTGCCTCTAGGAGGAGGTCAAAGCTGCCCGCAGAAGCCTGCTGCAGAAAACTTGGCTGCTGGCAGATGAGGTAGGACGGGGCGCATCCTGGATGGGGGGAAATAGTAGGTCTTGGGCGACAGAGATCTCAACAGGATCTTAGTAGCTACTTCATAAAATTTCTTCCCTTTTTGCAGGGTCTCCGGCAGCACCTTCTCCACTATAAGTTCCCTAATTCTGCCCTCCCAGAAGGCTTTGAGCTCTATCCCCAGTTGCCCCCTCTGCGTCAGCAGTACCTCCAGCGACTGACCTCAGGGACGCTCGAAAATGGGGTATCCAAGGCCTAGTACAGTTGCTACAGATGGGGACTTGGATACATTCTCCTGGGGTTCACCAACACGTGCCTGGCCAGACAAAAGGATTCTGTGTCCTTATGGGTACACAAGAGACAAAGGAACAGAAGGCTTGCCTTCCTGGAAGCAGGCCATTGGAGCTTTTTTGGAGCAGGGTGAGCCCTACCATTATATACTGATGTATGAAGCTCAGGATCTGGGGCTTCTGAGGGTCTGTACTGGGAGTGAAGGGTGACTTAACTATTTAACCCTCTTTTGGGGACAAGGAAAACTATGGACATCTCTCCTTCCCCTGCCCCAGACCAGGATATATGAATGCTGTAGATGTGTACTGAAATAAAAAATTTTTGTATCTCCTAGGAATCTGATTTGGATTAATTTCAGACATGGTAGTTCAGGATTGGTATGGAGGGATGGACTGTCCCAGGGGAGAAGCAGGACTTCTGTGAGAGATGGGGAAGTAAAAACTAAGTCCACATCTGGGACAACTAATGCGGGTCCCAGTTCTGGAGGTAAGCCAGGCCAGAGCAATTCTCTTAGGAAGGGGTACTACCTTTTTTTTTTTTTTTTTTTTTTAAATTTGACAGAGAGACACAGCAAGAGGGGACACAAGCAGTGGGGAGTGGGAGGGAGAAGCAGGTACCCTGCTGAGCAGGGAGCCTGATGTGGGGCTTGATCCCAGGACACTGGGATCATGACCTGAGCCAAAGGCAGATGCCCAATGACTAAGCTATCCAGGTGCCCCATGAAGGGGTAGTTCTAAAGGACTTTCAGCAGTCCATTTGGAGTATAAGTATCCTTAGTGAGGTCAGCATCTTATCTCCATATGGTCCATTAACTGCTATCCTGAGATATGAAGAAAGCAAAAAGCAGACTGTGCAATAGTTGTCTGTCTTAATCCGTTGGGGCTGCTGTAACAGAATACCATAGACAGGATGCTTTATAAACAACAGAAGTTCATTTCTAAAATTTCTGTAAGCTGGGAAGTCCAAAATCAAGGCCCCGGCACAGTTGGTCTCCAGTGAGGGCCCACTTCCTGGTTCGTGGTCAGCGCTCACATGGTTGAACAGACATGGGAGTCCTCTGCGGCTTTAATAAAGACACTAACCCTGTTCCACCCATGAGGGTGGCACCCTTATGACCCAATCACTTTCTAGAGGCCTTGCCTCCAGATACCCTCACACTGGGTATTAGAGTTCAACATATGAACTTGGTTGGGGGAAGGGGGAGTGGACACAGTCTGTAGCACTGTCCTACAACTCCCCCTGCATTGTGGACTTCAGTGGTGCCAGGGAAGGAAGAGCTGGGAAGGAGTGGATCACCATGAACTCTGGTTCATTGGTTCATCACTTTTGGTACAGTTTTTCGGTTCTTTGTCTAAATTCTAACACTTAAGCTTTCTTACAGTGTCATTTTCTGTGCGGGATCCCCGTGTTTACAGGTCATCGGAGTGAGTGCAGTGTGCCCTGTCCGTAGGTAGAGAGAACCACTTCCCATGAACAGAGCTGCTGGACACAGAATAATACAGTAGGTTTTATAAGCAACTACTGCATCTGCAAACAGATTTGTCCCCAAACCCATGTGACAAAAATTGCGGGAAGAATGTGTTAAAACACACTGCCCAGCCCTTCACCGGTGTTTCTGATTCAGTGGATCTAGGGTGAAACCCAAGAATTTGTATCTCTAACAGATTTCCAGGTGGTGCTGTTGGGGCTATCTAAGCCCAAACACACTTGGAGAACCACTGGCTTAGCGGAACGTTCGTTACCAAGTAAATTCTGGGACCTCACAGTGGGATACCCACGGAGTTCAATAGAGCATGGGTCTTATAGTGCTTCAGAATCACTGTAGTATCTTTACTTAGCACTATAGTCTTAGACAACCAAATAGCTAACCACTATCACTTCTTTTTTTCCCAGTGCTTTGTATATAGGCCTCAGCCTTTAAAATTAGTATTTCGGACAAAAAATTAAGGAAGACACAAAACCACCTGAAGTCTGAGGACCTTCACAGTTATAGGGTCCATTGTGGTTTACAGAGCAATTCCCCTTCATAGGATTTTATAGGTGGGGAAATGGTCTCAGAACAGTGCAACCTGTGCACCATCATTGTTGACTAGAAATGCTAGTACTAGCGCTTAGATCTTTGAGATCAGGATCCAGGCTTTTACCCCATTCTTGTAAGAAATTGTGCAAAGGGGGCGCCTGGGTGGCTCACATGGTTAAGCATGCCTTTGGCTCAGGTCATGATCCCAGGGTCCTAGGATTGAGCGAGCCCCACATCGGGCTCCCTGCTCGGCGGAGAGCCTGCTTTGCCCTCTCCCTCTACTGCTCCCCGCTGCTCATACTCTCTCGCGCTCTCTGTCAAATAAATAAATAAAATATTTTTTTTTAAATTGTGCAAAGGGTTAAGACAAACAGTGGAGTTGTATGAGGTAAACCTAAAGACTCATGTTTCTGAGGGTTTGAGGGTTTCTGAAGGTTCAGCCTTTCAGTCACAAAGGTACCAAAAAGACACAAAAATGGCGAGTAATGATGCCTTACTTGGGGCAGTTCAAAAGAGCACTTGCTGGGGCGCCTGGGTGGCTCAGTCAGTTAAGCTGAAGCGTCTGCCTTTGGCTCAGGTCATGATCCCAGAGCCCTGGGATCGACCCCAGCACCCCAGCATCTGGCTCCTTGCTCATCAGGGAGTCTGCTCCCCCCTCTCCCTCTGCCCCTCCTCCCTGCTTGTGTTCTCTCTCCTCTCAAATAAATAAAATCTTAAAAAAAAAAAAAAAGCACTTCCTATGTGTTATTACACATGCCCACACTCCACCACCAATGAACCACTCACTCTATTGCTCCTGATGTGAGAACTAGAAAGACCTAGAAGCCTGAGCAGGATGTCTGGGGTGTGGTTGCCCCTTTTTTCACCTCCTGCCTCAAAAGGGTAGGGGGCACTTTCTCCCCTACCTTGGGATCCAGACAACCCTGGGAGGGGTGCTCACAAGGCTCTTCCAGGAAGGTTAGGGACCTCGCTGCCCACATGCCCTGCCCTTCCCTCCAGCATCCTGGGGTCTGAGGTGGGAGTGGCCAGGCGGGCTTTAGGATGACAGTGTCTAGCAAGCTGCTGGACTCCGCTATAAGGGGTGGTCAGCCGGAAGTGACACGGTCTTAGTCCACAGCCCTAGTTGTGGCAGGCTGAACAAGCCATGGACTGCTCAGGGTCATGGCTGCTGTGGCTTGAAGCAGCAGCTAAGTACCTCCTGTCAGTCAAGGAAACATCTGGCTAGAGGCATCTTCGGAGGCTTGGCAACAGCAGTTGAGAAGACTGGGTCCTAGTGGCTCCACCAGAGGCCTGGAGCCTTCAAGGCCAGTGCTTCTGGGTCAGTGCTGCTGGTGAGTGGGCCCAGAAGCACGGTGCGGGCCTGAGTTCAAGGTTCCCCATCACGCAGCGTGGGAAGGAGGGACAGGCCCTAGGGTCTTAGGAGCACCTGGGGGGTGAGACCACTTAGCTAGGTCGAGGAAAGGTTGGGGAGCCTGCAAAACCAAACTCAGTGCAGCCCCCAGGTCATTCACTGGGAAGGACCCCCCGGAGGAGAAACTTAAAGAGGTATCAGTGGGTACCCAGGGGCGCCTCAGCGACTGGATTTTGTCAGGGCTGGCTTCCAGGTGCTGGTGTGCCCTGGGTGGGTGAGTTTAGGAACGTGACTGACCACAAGAGACAAGGGCTAGATGTTGAGAGGTTATCTCTTTATCGATCTTTATCTCTTGTCCTCATTTAACCACAGGCCCCCTTTCCCAACCCCGCAGTCTCGCTGTCACATTTCAGGAACCATTCTCTGCTCCAACTCAGGGTCCCAAGCAGCTTTTCTGCCATCCTTGCCCTTGTCACTGCCAGCTTCAAGATGCGAACATCACTGCCCCACCTAGTTGCTTAGAGCCAGTTTCTCCCCTAGTTCCCCCAGGTGAGCTCCAGGCTCTCCCTCCCTTCTCTGCTCACCTTACCAGGCCAGGTCAGATGTTCTATGACTCTTTCCTCCCTCCCCGCTCCAAGACACTTACAAGACTTGGCTGTTTTCATCCCGTGGGCCTGTGGCAGGAAAGGACCCACACAAACAGTGCAACAATGGGTGCCTGGGTGGCTCAGTGGGTTAAAGCCTCTGCCTTCAGCTCAGGTCATGATCTCAGGGTCCTGGGATCGAGCCCCGCATCGGGCTCTTTGCTCAGCGGGGAGCCTGCTTCCCCTCCTCCTCTCTCTGCCTGCCTCTCTGTCTGCTTGTGATCTCTGTCAAATAAACAAATAAAAATCTTTAAAAAACAAAAACAAACAAACAAAAAAGAGTGCAACAAGGCACACACCAGCAGCAGAGTGATGGTGACAGTGGGTACCACCGAGCCTCAGAAAGGCATGCAGGTGCGGTGGGCACTAGCCACCAGCGAGTACCTCTAAGTATGAAGCAGGGGGAGGTGGGTGGTGACCCTGGTGTCTTAAGTTCTAAAGTTAGGGGACAGAAGGCCTCAGGTGACCACATTGTTGTAGGGTATGTTCCACAACCCTGTGTGGCTCTAGCGACTTTGTCCCTTCTTCCAGTGGAACCAGGGTCGGTGGTAATGGTCGCCACTGAATTAGCCCGGTACCTAAGAGCCTGTTGCTTGCCACTGGAGAGCCCCTAACCAGCGGCGGCGCCAAGCGGTGGCTTGAGCAGCACCCTCCAACATCTCCATTAAGCCTCCTAAAATAAGTGTAAAATCTAATCTGGCGTGCGGACCTAGTCTCCCCATCTTTTCAAAATCAACCACAGCCTCTTAAGCCCCTCAGATAAATTCTGGAGCCGCTTTTGTCACCAACCTGTGCCCCAGGCGAGCAGCGCGAGGACCGAAGGGCGAGGGCCACGGACTCCGCGCCCGCTTCCGTAGGATCTCAGCTTATGGAGCTTCGGGGGCCGAAGGCACGGCGAACCACCTGTCGCGGGCGCACGGCGTCTTTGTCTCTGCCTTCTTCTCCCTTGGTCGCGGGGAGCCGCTTTACATCCTAGCTGGGCAGCAGGGAGAGGACGCCTGTCCCGGAGCGAGCGGAGCCGGTGGGATGAGGCGGCTCAAGCTCACCGGGGCTAGGGCCGGGCAGACCGAGGTCGCTCCTCGAGGTCCAGACCGCCGCGCTGTGAGGGGAGCGTCCCGGGCCCCGCCGAATTTGGCGCCCGCTGCCCACAGGGGAGCCCGGAGAGCCAGCTCGTCTGCCTCGGAGAGTCTCGGGTCGCTGAGGAGCACGCGGCGACAGAGGGGGCCGCAGGGATCTCGGGGTCACGGCGCTGGACGCGAGGCGGCGGGGGTGGCGGAGTACGTGCTGGCCTCGGCGTGGTCAGCTCCCGCCCCCAGCAATCCGCGTTGGGGTCCCAAGCTTCTTGCTGCCGGCGCGCCCACACAAGCCCTTCGTCCGGGCCTTGGGCTCCCTGGAGTCCGTTCCCTTACTCGACGGTCCTCACTCGACGGCTGGCGCGCCGCAGGCCCGGTAGCCGCACGCCGGCTAGCTACAGCGCCCGGCTGGAGGCGGCCCGAGCAGGCGGGCGGGCCCACCTGCGGTGCCGGGACCGAGGCCGGCTTCAGGCCTCACCTGAGAAACTGGAGAACCGCTCGGCAGCGCCGGGGAGCAGAGAGAAAGGCGGCGCCGCAGGTGAGGGGGCGGGGTAGGGGGAGGTGGGCGTGCTCCCCGTCCCCGGTGCGGGCCATCACGCCGTCGCCCCGCAGACGGAGGGGGTGGCTGGACGTTGCGGGGACCCCTTTTCCGCAGACAGGCCGCTCCTTGCAGGAGGGGGTGGAATGCGGCCGGGGCTGCGCGGAGGCCTGGGGTACGCTGCGCGGGGCCTCACTCCGGGGCTCCCGGGGCGGCGGCGGGGTCTGTACTGCGGGTGCAGTAGTTGGCGGCTACCCGGGTAGGTGCGCTCTCAGGGAGGGGAGCTCGGGGGCTCCCAGGGTGAAGTGTCATTGGAACCTTAGAACATGCCCTCTGAAGGATAGCTGGGGAAGGGGTTGAGCTCCGCTCAGGGCCCCAGGACAAGTAGAGTTAAGAGCTCTTGGAAAAGAGATTAAGTAGATGATCCTGGGTGGCTCTGTGGGTTAAGTGTCTGACTCTTGGTTTCAGCTCAGGTCCTGATCTTAAGGATCAAGAGACTGAGCCCCACATTGGGCTCCACGCTCAGTGTGGATTCTGCTTAAGATTCTGCCCCTCCCCCACTGGTGAGCGCGTGCACGCGCACGCGCGCGCTCTCGCTCGCTCTCTCTCTCTCTAATAAATCTTTTAAAAAAGAGAGGGGTGGAGGGATGGATGAGCCTGGTGGTGGATATTAAGGAGGGCACTTATTGCATGGCGCACTGGGTGTGGGCAGCAACGACGAATCTTGGAACACTGAAAAAATTAAATTAAAAAAATATTTTAAAAAAGAAAAGAGCTGCAAATCACACAAGCAGACAGGATTCCCTAGATTTTCATTGAAATCTGGGCCTTTTTATTTTTATTTTATTATTTTTATTTTTATTTTTATTTTTTATTTATTTTTTTAAATCACAACAGGTCTCCTTGCTCTACAACAGTCCCAGGAACTTAGAGCTGGCTGAGTTAGCAAACTGAGCAGAGAGGCAGAAAGGCCTGGATAATTTATTTTTTTATTTTATTTTATTTTTTTAGAGAGAGAGGAGGGGCTGCTGAGGGCAGATAGAGAATCTTATGCAGGCTCCACTCCCAGCACAGAGCGAGTGGTGGGTCTTGCCTGGGGGATCCACCTAGGTCTCCATTTCAGCACCCTGAGATCATGACTTGAGCCAAAATAAAGAGACCAAGTGTGAAGCAGGGGGAGATGGGTGGTGACTCCGGTGCCTGATTTTCTATACCTAGTATCCTCTATACCTGAGGTTCAATACCCAACTGACTGAGCCACACAGGTGCCCCAGGCAGGGGTAATTTAAATTAGTAGTTCTCAAAGTGTGGTTTCTGAACCAGTAACATTAGTACCACCTAAAAATTGGTTAGACATCCAAGTTCTCAGACCCTCTCCAACCTACTGAATCAGAAACTCTAAAGAAGACTCCTATCCTTCTGTGTTTTAATCAATCCTCTGGGTGATTTTAATACACTCCAGAGTTTGGAAATCACTGGTGTAAAGAGCCAAAGCCTTTGGGTCTGTCTAAGCCATTCTGTTCAGAAGTACTTTATACACATCTTCTCCATTCTCACAAAAATGGAACATGTGGATTGGGCCTGTCCCATTCTGTAGCTGAGGACATGAAGTCAGAGGATTTTAGGCAGACAAGGAGGTTGTCCCAGCCAGCCTGAGCCAGGCCTTCAGGCTCCTGCTGATGACTCCCATGCACCTGTCTGGCTCCTGGCTCCCACTTCGGAGTGGGGAGCACCTGTGTTGTAATGCTAGTGTAGAAAGGGCCACACTAGTTGCACCTGGAGACAACAGCTTCCCCCCTATTCATAAGCTCACTTCCCATTTGTGTGCCGCTTCCTCCCCCCATTTTGTAGCCAAACCCCCTATCACTTTTCAATTTCCAGGGAGTGATGCCTCAGAGAGTGATATCCTCTGGGTTGATGGAGAAGATGGGGTATACACCCCATACACCCCTGCAGTGAAACCTACCTATAGCCTCTGGCAGGTATTGGCCTCTAACCCTCCTGTCCCCCACCTCTCAGCCTGGCCTAGCCTTATTCCTCAATCCCTGAACCCACTCCCATTTGAGCCACCAACTCTATGCTGTGAATTATCTGTTTCTTGCACACACAGGAGTACTCGAGAACTAGGCTGTCAGTTGTGATGCCAATATGGGGCATTCTGGGGTACTCTCCTACTCAGGCTCAACCTGTGAGCTCAAGAATCCCAGAAGAGGAAGTATGCAGGCTTGACAGAAGTCCTCCAGACCCTCCCCCCACCTCTTAAATGCCAGGTACTGCTCATTGTTCTAAAGTCCAGGACCAGGGGCACCTGGGTGGCTCAGTTGTTAAGCGTCTGCCTTCGGCTCAGGTCATGATCCCAGGGTCCTGGAGTTGAGCCCCTCATCGGGCTCCCTGCTCCTCGGGAAGCCTGCTTCTCCCTCTCCCACTCCCCCTGCTTGTGTTCCCTCTCTCGCTGTGTCTCTGTCAAATAAATAAAATCTTAAAATAAAGTCCAGGACTAGAATTCACCACGTGGCTGGAAAAGTGTGTCTGCCACCCTCATTCTGCAATATCCATTCTTTTACTCAGTCATGGAGAGCCATGGAGAAGTGGAGATCTGATCGCACCTCAGGTCTGGTCATTGCCCTTTGAAAGACTGCCAATGGCAGGCAGGGCTCTGGTTAGCCAAATGCATGTGCCCAGGGGGCACAGAGCTAGCTGCAGATACCTGTCACTTGTGTGGGTAAGTCCTGCCTTTGTCCACGGTCTAGACTCCTGGGGCCACGGGCTGGGAGGAGCAGAAGGGAACTGGGAGAGATGACTGGTGTGTGCCAGGCACCATTCCCAGGGCTGGGCAGGAGATTAGAGCTTCATCAGCTTTTCCTTCAAGGAGCATGTAGACTAGTGGTCTAGTATGGAGGGGTGATACCTATCTATCTACCTACCTATTTTTCTATCTAGATATGAATCTAGATTTATTTTTTTAAGATTCTGTTTATTTATTAGAGGGGGTAGAGAACACACATGAGAGAGAGCAAGAGAAGGGGGAGAGGGATTACTGGCTGGCTCAGTGGGTTAAGCCTCTGCCTTCAGCTCCGGTCATGATCTCAGGGTCCTGGGATTGAGCCCCAAATCAGGCTCTCTGCTCAGCGGGGAACCTGCTTCCCCCTTTCTTTCTCTCTGCCTGCCTCTCTGCCTACTTGTGATCTCTGTCAAATAAATAAATAAAATCTTAAAGAAAAAAAAAAAGGGGGGAGAGGCAGAGGGAGAGGGAGAAGACTCCCCGCTAAGCAGGGAGCCCAGTGCAGGGCTCTGTCCCAGGACCCTGGGATCGTGACCTGAGCTGAAGGCAGACACTTAACCCATGCAGCCACCCGGGCACTCAGATATGTATCTAGATCTAGATATAGATCTCTATTAACGTGACAATTGTCATGGGAGACTTAAAATGTTTTAGGGTTTCTCAGGAGGGAAAGGGTGCTTTTATCTAGGATCAGTGGGGGAAAAAACATCATGAAAAAGTTAACACTTGGGCTGAATCTTGTGGTATGGGTAAAATTTGGGGAAGAGGACAGAGAGGAGCTTCCCACTGGAGGTGTCTTTCTCCCTAGACCTGCCCACTCTACCAGGCCCTCTGGTTCTGTTGGTGACTGTCATTGTAACCTTTACACTAAGCCTCCTTATGGTGTGTGGGATCCTGATTCCGGGTAAGGAACATCCAGGAGTAAGGAACATCTTCACTGAGCTGTGTGTAGGGTCCCAGGGACAGACATGGCTGATTTCAAGATCCCTGCTTCCAGCATGGGTGCCTCTGGGATTCTAAGTGTAAAAGCAGCTGTGCAGGCCCAGGGAAGACATTTGCCTTAATGGGTGTCTGGAGAGATGTCCTGGGTGGAGGGGTGGCAAAGCGGGTGGGCCAGATGAGTAGGTAGAGAGTTTGCCCTTCTTCTTCAGTGAACCATAAGAAGTGTCAGGGCCTGTGGGGGATGAGGCTGCCAGGCCCTGAGCTTGAGCTGAGCAATCCTTGAACCTCCATCATCAGGACAGCCCTCAACCCCTACTACTGCTAGGCGGGGTGTGGCTAGACCCAGCCCCGGCCTGCCCCCAGGGCCTACAGATGTTTCCCCAGCCAATGTCAGCCTGCTTGGTTAAGTTCTTTCCCTCCTCTGAGAACCTATGCCCTCTGAATCCTTCCCACTCCCATCCCGTGCCCTGCTGTGCTAAATTATGGTTCATAGAGAGCATCAGGCCCCAAGCCTCTGTGTGGAGGAGACAGAGGTCAGAGAAATTCCAAAAAGTAACCTGTCCAAAGTCAGCTGTCATCCCCAATTCTGGGATGGCGGGGACCCTATGATTCCTTTGGAGCAAGGGTTGCCTCTACCCAGGGTGTCTGCAAGGACATAAGGAAAACCCCATCACAGACCCCCACCTCCACTCTGAGCCCATACCTTCTCTCTCTTCTGCCCTGGTTCTGTGCCAGCCAACATCGCCTCAGTAGGGCTTGTACTTGGGGAGATGCTGAAAGACTTGAGTCCTCAGGTAGGGGCACCTGGGCTTGTAGGGGATGGCAAGAAGGGAAAGTAGGCACTAGTCCCTCTAGGACCATTCCCCAGGACCAGCCACCCACGCCCTTCCAACCTGTTTTCCTACAGAGCCCTGGGCCATGGTACCTTTAGAAAAGTCCATGAGGGACTGGTAATTGGCCTTCCTGGGGACCCCAGCCCCCTGCAGGTGGCTGTCATGGTGAGAGGGGTGGAACTTCTCAAACAGTTGCTGGAGCTAGGGTCAGCCCACTCTCCTGAAGTGTCTGGGGGAGCCCAGGAGCCGTCTTCCTCCCCAGACCCTGCCAGAACTCTGCTCTGGTCAGGATGAGCTGATTTCCTCACGGAGGGCTCACCATCGGTGCGCCTGGGGCTAGCGGCCGGGGCGGAGAGTGGGAGCAGAACTCCCTCTCAGGACAGCTGCTCTTCACCCTGGGGTGAGAGGTAGCAGGTCTAGTGATACAGAGCCTGTCTCCAGTTTTGTGGAACCTACAGCCTGGTTCCCTCCCTGCTGGCAGCTAAGGTATGTGCACCCCCACCCAGCAAGTTCAGCTGTCAGAGCACTGTGCGCTGTTGCGGCTCCGCCTCTGGACTGCCCCTCGCCTAATTCTGCTCCAGTTGATGTCTGGAGAGGATGTAAGGAGTGTCCTGAGGAACAGCCAGCCACACTTGGTTAAGACCCTTCTCCCAGCCCACTGAGCCCATCTATACACCCTGTCTGGAGAGTGGGAAGGGGCAGGGCGCCTGGGTAGCTCAGTGGGTTAAGCGTCTGCCTTCAGCTTGGGTCATGATCCGAGGGTCCTAGGATCGAATCTTGTGTTGGGCTCCCTGCTTAGCAGGGAGTCTACTCCTCCCTCTGCACCTTCCTCCCCCAACTCCTGCTCATGCTCTCTTTCTCTCTCTCTAGAAATAAAAATTTAAAAAATAATAATAAAGACCCTGTCCTTGTGTCCTAAAACACACATGGACTAATGCATTCAGGCCTACCCAAGGCCAGCCATTACCTCTGGCCATGCGTGACCTGCTCCATCTGGCCCAAGACAGAGCCCCGGTCTGCCACTACCTGGAAGAAAATCACTTCAGGGACGCCTGGGTGGCTCAGTTGGTTGGACGACTGCCTTCGGCTCAGGTCATGATCCTGGAGTCCCGGGATCGAGTCCCGCATCGGGCTCCCAGCTCCACGGGGAGTCTGCTTCTCTCTCTGACCTTCTCCTTGCTCATGCTTTCTCTCACTGTCTCTCAAATAAATAAATAAAATCTTTAAAAAAAAAAAAAAGAAAATCACTTCATCCACACTTTGGGAGTGATCCTGACTCACAGGGTGTTGGGGAGCAGCCCAACCCTCTCCCCAAGGAACTGCTCTTCCATATAACTTTAATGGAAACAGATCAGGGCAAGAGCTTCTGAGTTCTGGTGGTGATGTTTTGCCTGCAAGGATGTTGCCGCCAGGAGCTACCTGCTGAACTGTACTGGGCCCAGCTGAGTGGCCAAGATTGGAGACTTAGGGTTGGAAAGAGATATCTACAGGTGTGGGGTCTGGGGAGGTGGGGAAAGCTGCTGCTCCAAGGGAGTTTACGGGCCCTCCTGTGGCACTTGAGCAGCTCATGGTGCTCCTTCTTCCTTCCCGAAGAGCTGCTTATTACAGAGAGGGCTTCCAGGCAGGTGGATGCCCTAGAGGTCTTCTTGGAGGGCATCTTCACATCCAAGACAGACTCCTGGTGATAACCCACCCAACCCCCTCTCTACCCTTGGGCCACCTCATGTGAGGGAAAGCAGGGAGGCTGTGCCTGATGGGCTACATTCAGTTTCCCCCACTCTGATGCAGATCTTTTGGGGGTGCTGCTCTGGAAAGTCTCATTAGGCTACATGCCCTAGCCTGGGTGCACCAACCCGGATGTGCTGTACTTTGTTGCTGGAGGTGGACGGATGGGCCCTCCCCGGGGCTCTCCAGGGCCTGTGTGAATGTGGAGTGTTGTCCAGGGAGGAAGGTCCTTCACAGCCATGGGTGGGACGAATTCCTCCCTCTCCCCACGTACCATATCATGACCCAGTGTTGGCAGCACCAGCCTGAACTCCACCCCAGTTTTGCTGGCATCTCGAAGCATCTCAGATACCGTATTCAGGTGTGGCCCCTGATGCACTTTGACCATGTTGATCTTGAGGGTCAGGAGGGCAGTCACGGAACAACGCTGTGGTCCCCTGCTCTCCTGCCCCGCCATTACAGGACCCTGATGTGCCGAATTCACCCCTGCCAATGGAGCTGGGGCCCATCCTGGAGCAGGAAGGGACTTCTGGGCTGGAGAGCAGGTCTTTGGAGGGCCTAAGAGCCCCACACGCCTAGAAACTGAATCTGGAGAGTTTAAAATGCTAGGGAGGGAGGCTCCTTGACCCCTGCCTGCCCTCTAGCCTCAAAACCCCCAAATCCAAGGACTTCCAACCTCAGAGGGATTCCAAAGGAATCCAGAGGAATCCCCCTATGGCTCTTGGGCCCCAAGGGGCCCTGAAGGTGAGGACTTAGGCGCTGTCGGTAACAGTGATTCCTCCCTGCATTCCTCCTCAGGCTTCTAGGGAGCTTGTTATTCCAGTAGCCTCTGTCCCCTGCAGTCTGTGCTATGTGTCTGGGCCTGTCTCAGGCCAGCCTGGCACCACTGGGCCCTCCATCCTGGAAACCAGCTCAGGCTTCCTGGAGAAGAGCTTGGACCCTCCCAGCCTTTGATCTTTGGGACCAGAGGTTGAAACTGCCTCCTGCAGGAAGCCTTCTCTGGATTACCTTCCCCCCCATGAGCATTCTTCATCTGGGCAGCCCCGAGTCCTACAGATGCCTCCAGTAAAGAGCTCTTCTCAAACCCTCCAGTGATCTGAGTGGACATGAGGGATACCAGAGAAGTGAGAAAGAGACCAGAGGAAGGAGGGGAGGAGGCCTGAGTCACCAAAGCTGGTGTTTTTTAGTTTTATTGGGAAAGGCTGTCCATTGTAGTGTGGGAGGTTAGACCAATAGATCTAGTGCCTGCAAAATAAAATTCGTTATCTGGCCTCTCTAAAGAGATATACAGCCCCCTCAGAAGAGCTGGGCCGAGGAAGGAGCCCATTGTCCCGGCCACCCCTCCCCCACCCCACACCCCCACCCCCTGTTAATTAGTGCCATCGTTTCCGGGAACTCTGGGTCTTGTATGGGGGACAGCCCCCAGCGCGTGCAGTGCGTCCCATAGTGGTTGGCACCTGGCCCTGCAGAACAGTGTGAACCACCCCGCACCGCGGGGTTTCAGTCTCTCGCTGGCATGCATGGCGGGGACCCAGCCGAAGGTCTGTTAGAACGGGGGCTCAGCCTCATCTCTCTGCCAGACTGGCCAGGATGCTAATGAGATTGTCCAGCCCCAGCAAATAGCCGTCCTCGCGGTTGCCCTCCTCCCAGGGCCGCCGGTGGTCCAGGGTCTGGCCGTCGGGGAGGGGCGTGGTCTTGCCGAAGTCGATGAGCCACACACCCGCTCGATGGCAGTGATCGTGCACGAAGAGTAGTGAGCTGCCGATCACCTGCCGAGCCCCACATGGTCAGGCCGCAGCTCTTTCCTGGAGAAGACCCCCATCCCATTCCTGCTGTAGCCCTCACAGACCACAAGCCCGGCACCTGGACTACCCCCTCTTACCTCGTGCCTCCTAAAGAACTCAGAGACCTCCAGGGTGTCGCGAATCTGCTGCAGGCGGTTCAGATACCTCCTCTGGAGAGGGCAGGATAGGGTAGGAGGGCAGATTTACAAAAAAACTAACCGAGCCTCTGCTAGCATCAGGGGCCACGATGCATGCTTGGCTTGGAAGATACCATGGTGAGGAAGACATAAGCCCCCGGGTGCGATAAAAGCTACGATGGGGGTGAACAGGTGAGGGCACCAGACCGGATGACCTAGGGGGCACCCCTCGGTTTCAGGTTCCCCAACAACTCAGGGTTCTAGAATCCAGCGCTCACCAGCACTTCCGCGTCCCCTTGCACAAACTCCTCGAAGACGCGAATCACCTGTTCCCGGCTTCGCGTGGTCTTAAAGTCAGTGCTGCAGGAGCCGTCGGCTTTCTGAAGGAAGTGGGACAGGAAGTGTCAGTGTCCCCGTGCCTCTCCTCTGTTCGAGGGGAGAGGATCCGGCTAGAGAGGCTGTACCTCCCAGGACGTGGGCTGCCGGGGAAGGCCTCTGGCGAGGGGGGGGGTGTCCGCAGGGAGGACAGACACCGCGCGGTGGGGTTAGGGCAGGGCGGGGGGCAGGACGCTGCAGAGCAAAGCGGGCCTGGCCCACCTTGATGCCTTCGATGCGGAAGCCAAGCGTGGTGCTGGAGCTGATGCCCTCTCGCCACTGCATGTAGCGTGGTTTGGTGACCGCTCGCTGCGCGTGTTCCTCCTCGGTTGGAGCCGCGGGGTCTACCGCCAGCATCTTCTTGTACATGTCCTTCCGCAGCTTGGGCCGCTCGCGGGCTTTGGTCAGCTCCTCTTCCAGGTAAGTCCTGCGGAGGGGCAGGCAGTGGGGGGGGGGGGCGTAAGGGAACGCAGACCTGGACCCCGTCCCGCGCGGTTCCGGGCACCCGGGAGAGCGCTTCTCCCCGCCCTGTGCCCCCGCCCGGACAGGCAGGGCACGTGTACCTGACGCCCATCTTGCAGTCCAGGACGCAGGGCCCATCGAAGCCGTCGAGCAGGTCCTGCAACTGCAAGTAGCTCTCGCCATCGCGCTCCACCACGCCGTGGAAGGCGGGCACACAGCCGCGCAGCGCGTCCGCCATGAGCCGCGCCAGGCAGTAGCGCTCCGGCTCCGAGCTGCGCTTCAGGATCAGCCCGCTGGTGCCAGCCGCCTTGAAACTCCCTGCGGACTGGCACCAGTTAGCGCTGCCCGGTCCCTTCCTTTCCCGGGCACCCGCCCGCCCCGCCGGCGCCTGCCCTGTGCTCACCCGTGTGCCCAGCCAGCTGCACCCAGGCGTAGCGCCTCTTGAAAGGGCTCATGACGGGCAGATTCACCATGGTCCGGATCTTCTGCCAGTGGCTTTTCTGAAAGCGACAGGGTCCGGGCGTGCACGTTGGCATCTCAGCAATGCACAAGCTTTCCCTCCCTTGGTGTAGGGTCTCCTGCTGCCCCAGCCCACCGCAAGCAGCTAGGGCCCCATGATTCATTCATTCAATCACTCGCTCACTCAAGGGAAGTGTTTTGTGAGCCTGTGCAAAGGATACTGAGACGGGCACAGGGTGATGGCAGACATCCAGCTTCTCCATTTCCTGTGGAAAAGAGTCCTGGACTTAATGTCAGAAGGCTCAAGTTTTCACCCCAGGTCTGCTCTCCAGCTGTGTGGGTAAGTTACTAA